TGCTGTACTGTTAGCACGTGGATTGCTCCTTTCAGAAAGTTGTTCTGTCTGTCATTATCCGCAAAAGCAGCTAGAATCCCCGCGTTTGACGTTGTGTGTTCGGTTTAGTGGTTTTTTGCGGATGGATGGAGCCTCCAGAGTAACTCGACCTTGTTTCGACCTTCATTTTGACGGATTTGACGGGCTCATGTTCAAGGCCGCAAAANNACCACAAGGGGCCTCCCCAGTAGTTGGGGTGAACCCAAACCCTGGTTTGCAAATTGGAGTCGGCAGGACGATGGGTTTGTGCGTTTGCATTGTTTTCTCTGAAACCCAGAAGTCGACAAGCCAGAAAAAGAATCAACAAGAACAAGAGCCCGATGAGGTTTTTCTTGGTTTGAGTTGGGTTGAACAACCTCGGCCGGACTGGAGCAGAGGGGTCACCAACCTCAGGTTCTATTCCACTTCCGAGGTCCAATCCAGACCAGGTGGGGGTTGGAGTCAACCCGAAACCCCATCCGACGCGAGTTGGGTTGGGATCAACCCGCTGATTTGGAGCTTGTGCGTCGGGATTAGGTGTTAGAGACAATTTTTTCGACCTTGGAGTTTGAGCACTGGTGTTCGATTTATGGGTTTGAACACCAGTGTTCGAACCTCGGGTTTTGTTGACACAGGTTTTTTGGGGTTGACTGCTTTCTGAAAGTTTTGTGGCTCAAGAATTTTTTTGCCTTCTAGCAACTTTGCCGTTTTCGCAGGGCTTTGCTTGCTGTGTGGATTGAGAAAGTGCAGAGGAAACCTAGAACCGAGTTAGCTTCCTGCAAACCTTTACAATCTTTCAAACTTTCAAAAAGGAACAAACATGCAGCTAAAGAAGTGGCGCGGCCTTTGGCTGTGGAATGAAACGGGCGGGTCTGGGACCTCTAGCTGCACCCGATACACTAGAAACGTCGCTCTGTGCAAGTATGCAGCCCGGCGTGAGGGCCGATAGGCCCACTGCACAGGACGGCATCCAGTACCTGTGTGACAACAGAGCGCATGACGTGCTCTTGGAGCACGTCAATACACCTCATCCAAGGCAGGTGTACGGCCACCGCAATGGCAAATTTGCACAATAACATGCAACGTCCATTCGCTTGGCATGCGCCTCTGGTTGCGGGGCATCTGTGGAGGCCTCATTGCTCCAAGTTGCTCCGGGGAAGAGAGACAGCACACCCACTTAGCAAGCCAACTCTTGGGGCAGCAAGTTTCTCCGATGAACTTCGCAGCGCCCTGGCACACCTTAGCGTCAGCTCTACGGCTGGTTGCATTTTCGGGCTATCCTTGTCCGGTCGGTGCCCAAACTCGAAAACCAGTCATTTTCCAGTACATTGATGTCGTGGCATTTGTCGTGGAATCGGAAGTTCAATGCGCTTCGGTCGCTCGCCCCTTGGCTCTTTGTGTAGTTTCACAGACCGAATCGCAAGTCCTGCTCTCCGAAGGCGGGTCGCCAACAAGTTGTGCAGCTGCAACACCCGAAACAAAACTACATGTCCCGTGCCGGGTAGCTCGAACTTAGCACAGGCACAGATGTCATCTGGAAGACTGTAGCGTTCGCTCAGTTGTTGCCAGGCTCACGGAGGCAATGCTAGTTTTCCAGTTCCTGCTCGTCAATGCCTTTCCAGCTACTTGGTATCAAGCGCATCAGAAAGGCTGGCTCTTGGCTAAACGCTTGGTCATTCATTTGTCATGACAATATTGATCGCAAGTATGCTGAACTTCTCCGGTCGTCGCAAGCCCGTGTACGAGTGAAACAGCCTTTGGACAATGATTGCAGTTCGGCGTGGATTTCATGTCTGTTGGCCGATTGAGTTCGCTCATGGTGTTTATTTTTGCTAGTGCGATCCAGCTGACGAGACTAAATCGTTAGATGCAGCCGATGTTGAGTCCATGGCTGAAGGGTCGCGAGGACTCCGTGGTGTGCCAACCAGTTGGGCTCCAACTTGGGCTCTCCACTATCAGCTCGAGCGATGAACCAAAAATCCCTGAGACATGTCTGGCCAAAGCCAGCATCCTTCGGTGGGGCGCAGCTCCAAATCCTCTGTGCCTACCCTATGTAAAAGATTTTTTGGGTGGAAGCTAGCTCAATTGCCAAAGAGCTTTAAGCCTTTCGGGGCCCAGGGCCATGGTCTTCTTGCTTTCTCTGCCTTGAACTGCCATGATCAACACAAGGTTCTGCTGGCTTCGCTCGTAAACGAAAGCTGCCCGGATCAGCTGGCAGCCTTGCAAGTCACTGTTGCTTGGCAGCATACACGTGAACAGGTACCACGTGTGAACAGGCACCAGGTCTGTGGTTAAGTGCACCGGTGCATTCAGCATCTATGTCATGTCCAACTGTTGAGCAGTCTGGGTAACAAATGCTATTGACTGTGCCTTCGGGATCAAACATGTTTTCATGTGGTATTCTCGAACGTTGTCACATGCCGTTTTCTGGCATTGATAGAACGGACGTTCAGGGGTAGGTGCACTTTCTACCATGAACGAGCGGTGGTTCTGATTCAGTCTTCTGTTGCGTTTGATGAAGCCTCACATCCCCATACGCTTTTGTGTTGGAGTGCCTTTTCGGATGCTTTGCTGTCCTGTAGGGTATGGGTACAAGGCAAACATGCGAACCCACTGGCACGATTCCAGCTCTCTCCAGCTTGTGCGCAAGCCAGGCTTCGCAGCAGAACCAGGCAGGTTGTTGGAGTGAAAGTTGTGTGCGAAAATCGTGCCGCCTCTGCTGCTGCTGTATTCTTTTACCTCTTCGTGATTCCGAAGGCTCACCATGGAAAAGCTCACCGTGAGAAATCCCATCACAAGACCGTCCACAACAAGAAGGTTGCAGGTGTGGCGGAGCTGGGCCCAGCTATGTGTCCTTGCTCATCTTCCCTGCCACAGTCGGAGATCATTTTGAGCCCGCCAGGCAGAAGCCGCAGCACTGATGGTCGACACCCGCCTGATGGAAGCGAGAAACACTGCCGCCCGCAGGTTGGGGTGTTGATTTGCTTTGCTGGAAATGATTGCAGTTTTATGCTCGCAGTTTCCGTGAGAGCCTCTACAGGATGCTTCTGGTCGTGTCCTGGGCTTGCAGCGAAGGATACGCAAAGAAGTGCACACCTTGCCCCTGGGCGGCACGTGGTGGTCTAGTGAAGAAATAAATAGATGATTTGCTACATGGTTGCAAATTACAAATGATGCCAATCCGTTGCTTTTGTGTATGTTTCAAACATCCTTTTCAGTGCCTTGCTACGTTCGTCCAGCTGTCTGGCTCTCGCTTCGGGCTGAATGTTGTCACAAGCCAGGAGTGATGCTGAGTTCCAGAGTTTTGCCAAAGCGGCAAACCTCTTGAAAGAGGCCAGGCGCATGCCAGCATCCATCCCAAAACCGAAGATTCGAGTCCAGCTGAGCCAGCTGGACCCGAGATGACAATAGTACGCTGACCTGTCTGGCTGAAGAGGCGATTTCGACAGTTTTTCAGCCGAACATGGTGGAGCATGTGTGTCGGTGGAACAGATAGTCGAAACAAGTCTGGGTTTGCATCCACATATGCCAAATTAGAAGGTGGAGTCGAAGTGTTCCGGCAAGGCACTCTGCCTGGCACTGAGACAGACGAAGTATGAGAGAAGGACTTCCAAAGGCTGTCACTGAATGCGTGGCCACAGGTGCCGAGGACTATCCCAACACTTGGGACTCCTTCCGTGCATTCAACATGCTGCTCGGCTTGGAGTTTCATGTCGTGAGATGCCAATGTCTGAGCGGCGGATGCGACAGGCGGTGCCACAACGACGAGGAAGATTTCCTGGTGTGCCACCGTAGGATGCTCTACGACTTAGAAACAAGCCTGCAAAAGATACTTGGCTGCAGCAGTCACGACTCGACGGAATCTTGTCAGTGTTCCGCAGCTGTTAGGTGGATGGATGAGAAACTGAGAGAAGGGTGCATAATTTGAGTTTTCGACGAATCAGGATCTCTGGCGATTGTGATGTGACGCTGCCATATTGGAACCCTTACCGGGAGCCCGGCAACGCCTTGGGCGAGGAGCTCAGAAGCCTTCATGTTGACAGTCTTCTGATAGCCGACTCCTTGAATGAGTTAATTAGGCAGAGATAGTGCCCGGCTGCAAGTTGCAAATCGCTTCATTGCACTCAGACTCAAAAGTCTGGAATTCCAGCCGATTCGGTGCCTTGTGGGGCGTGGAAGAGAAGTACTGCTATGCCGCTCGGCGTGGATTTAGAAGCGCTTGTGCCAAGATCCGTGCAGACCCGAGTATGAGATGTAGCGAGGACAGCGCGGAGGATGCCTGGACAGACTGCGCAAGAGTCTCGGAGCCTGTGTGGTGACTTCAGTTCAGGATTACATGGATCCCCTTGACTTAGCATTTAGAAGCTGCAAGCCCATATGCGAGGTTCAGCCTTTTGTTTCAGCGCAGGTCACAGATGGAGTTGGTGCTGACTGGAAGCAGGGCACTGACATCCACAGCTATGATTGCTGCTTGCATGCATCTCCACCGTTTGCCTAGAGCCTCCGTCGCATGATAAGATGGTTAGATCGCTAGATCCATGATACACACGTCGCCTGCATGGTTGAGCTACCTTCCTTGCGACTGGAAGCCTCAACCACGGCTGGGAACATGGAGCATCCTCACCTCCAGCCTTCGGCGTTATCTGTCCGAAGCACGCTTCAGAACGTCTTCTGCAACTACAGGCACAAGGACCATGCAAGATCTCTGTCACACGCAAGCAGCACATTGACGTGCATCAAAGTTGACACCGAGCCGGGGTTCTCCGTCTTTGCCTGACATGTTTCCGGAAGTGTCAAAGTCGCGACCTGCTTCATCTTGGATCGCTCACTTGCTGGTACCGTGTCTTCAGGCTCTGCATGTCTGAACAGAGCCCCGGAGTTGCAACCTGTCTGCAAAGTGACAGGGAGCCGGAACCATACGAGGGAGCAAGTGGGGTAAGACCTCAGCAGCAGATTGTGCAACGGTCTTGCTCACGGCATGAAGTCTGAAAGCGGGCCGAAGGCATGCCAATCTTCTACCATTTCCAGTGCTTCTTGTCACCTGCCTGCAGCAGATTTTGCAAAGGCGCCCACAGACGTTTCTACTGCGTGGGACATTCGTCTGAGGCTGCTACAAAGAAGGATAGGACGCTGGAAGACTTCCAGTCCTGGGCAGCTGCGCTTGCAAGAATGTCTGACCTCACTACTACATACACCCTGCAGAAAGAAAGAAAAGCGAGTCACTCAAAGAGTGCTACTGTGAATGGAATAAGAGTCCTGATGTAGAGCAGTTTTTGAGCATCCTTACAGTGTGTCGTGGCATTCGTGGAGAGCCTACTGAGCGTCGCTTTCAAAACCTGCCTTGTGGCAAGCAACAAGAGGAAGGGGCGTGGGGCCGGAAGTACTGTGAGAAGTCGAAGTCCGTGCAGGATGCAGCAGTATTTGGGTCAACCAAAAACATGAAGTCGAATGCGTGTAGTTGGGGTTTGTCAACATCGCGATCGGCCATTTACCAGACACGAGTCTTCCCCGGCCATTACGGGTCGTGTTTGCATGATACTCCCAGTTGCTTAAACTTTACTAAAGTTCTTCTAATTTGCTTCCGGCGGCAGTACTTGGGGGCCTGGGGGAAGCGCGTCGGGGGCCGTCGCGTTCGGCGTGTCTACTTTGGGTTTCACACGTTGCGCTGAGGAGCATGATATGCATGCAAGAGCGGACAATTGGAGGCGCTCCCATATCATTGGGTCAAGACACTACACACAATCATACAACTTAAATTTGTCCCGGGCCTTCAAACCGGCCTTGGAGGTATTGTCCGAATACAAGCAGTAGAGTAGAGAGGGACAGGTATCGTGCCAGACAACACTCTTGATTGTGTGAACAGGGATGCCTATGGTATTTTGCATGCGTGCAGATGCGGTTTGGGGGATGCGGCGACTTTTTTTCGCTTGCTTTGACCGCAGGTTCGGTCGTGCGTGTAGTTGGGGCTTGGGTTGTGCGGCTACTGATACTGTTTTTCTCTTGCTTTGAGCCTATGTTCGGTGGTGTGTGCAGAACGCGATGTGCTTCTCGGTAATGACTTACTCGTGACTTGATTGACTTCAGCCTGACGGATGCCTTCAAACGTGTCTCATCATTCCCCGCACCGCCGGTTGTGACTTCAGCGTTTGACAGTGGCCTGTAAGTAGCCTGTGCTGCTTGACATGCCGGTAACGACCTACACAACAGGATTTCCAGCAATCAGCGAGGGAGAGGAGAGTTGTGTGACTGAGAGATTCCTGCACATTGTACGGCCTTTGCGTTGCGTTTCCACGCCGTGCACCGCACTTGCGCTTTTAATCCACGGCTGTCGTCACGTGTATAGGTTTGATGGAGCTGGGTGTCATAGGTGGTGTTCTGGGTTGCAAGGGTCGCCTGAAACAGGTCATGACACTGTAGTGTATGCAGCGACGTCCCAATACCTCACTCCATAATGGGGGTCTGAGAGTGTGGGATGATGGTCGAGGGCTACGGACAGTAGCCCTCACACCTAACTAATGCAGCCGAAAGACAGCAAGGACTGGCAGGGTGCAAGTCCTCATGTCCACCTCATGTGCTTCGCGGAAGATATGACCATCGCTCTTCTTGACCTGCTCAGGTTCGAGGAATCGTTGCCGATGTGCACTTCATGGTAGGCTTGTGGGCAGGATCGGGCAGGTGTAGTCGCATGTCTTGGTGGGAGCATGAGAGTACTTTTGTACCCGCTGCAGCAGGTAGGCCGTGTGTGGGTGTTGAGACTGGCCCTTCATGTTGGCATGCACGGCCTGTGAAGAAAGCTCCACATGAGATAGTCCCGCTTTGGCCCCTTTGGCAGCCACTGCGAGGCGGTGACATGGCACACCTCCCCGAAGCCACGACGGATCCAGTCTCGTTTGCTCACTTCGGCCACTCGTTGCAGTGGGTTTCTACGTGATCATATTGCCAAGTCCACAACATTCGCAGCAACAGACCGTCGGCGGTAGCGAGCCCTTCGTCGTGAGTGGGAACTGCATTCAAGGAATGGTGGACCTCTTGCTGTCCCTTCGTCAGGTGGAAGTGCTGACAGGGAAGGGGAGAGAGTTGGAGGATGCTAGACGGTGTCGCGAGGGGCGTACTGCTATGCATTACAGAACAGAGAGAGTGTCTGTTCAGTACCGAGCACAGCTTGAAATGGTACAGCACATGCGCGGCAGTGAACCTGCAAGTCATGTCATGTCTGAAGCAGTCCGAAAGAAAAATCACAGAATCACAGTTCCTGGCAGCTCCACCGTGCATGTGCAAAAGGCATGCAGGGCCGCAGGTGCGGACCCGTAAACTCTAAGAAAGACTTGAAGAACGAGTGTGAGTGTGCATAGTTCTTATTCATGAGCTGATCCCAAGTGATTGCAGCTTTATGTCACAGATGCCATCCGCAGTTGCTTCAATTTTGAGCAGAGGCTCGAGGGAGTCATGCCTGGAGTGAGTGCATCTTCAGCTCATACATGTGTAACGCAACTTCTAATGCCGTTTATTAAATTTCGGCCGGCGAGCACAGCATCAGATTCCAGACCGTGCCTGACAAAGCTATGGAATCTGATGGGAAGCAAGGGCTGATCACCCTTGTTTACCTGTAAAACAAGGCCGGCCCCGAAGTACCCCAAAGAATGTTGTTGTTTCCTCAGTGGCGAAATGATGGAGCTTTCCAAAGTTTTTGCACGGAGTGTCCGAGCTGAGTAAGCTGCCTCGCTTGCAGAGTGTCTATGGATGTTGCAAGATTACCGGCACAAGGACCTTTGGCTTTGACCGCAGTTCCAGTTTGCGTGCACGTTTGCCGCAATCTGTGTCTTGTTGCCATGGACAAGCTTTCAAGCAAAGCACGCAAACAACAACGTTTAGGTTTCGATGCAACGAAATCCAACCCAGAGTTCGACCATCTTGTCGAGAGTGCGCGCGTATGTGTATATTACCTCCAGTGCCGAGTGTAACCTTGTGTAGCGTCGCACGTGCTTTTCACAGGCTGACTGCATCTTCGCAGCTAGCTCTGCGGCTCTAGCTTTCCAGCTCGGGCCGGGGATTCTGGGCCCCTGGCGAGGCTAGACCGTCTAGTCGAAAAGGGCCGCTCTGGGCAATGGGCGGAGGCTTCGTTCATTGTCGTGAGCGACGACCACTTACGATGGTAGGCTGAACAGCGGAGAGGGTCAAGCCGACGCCTGGCAGTTCGAGGTCCACTTTTGCCCTGGCTCTCAGCGGAGTTGCCGTGAGAGCAAGCGCGGCCGGGGCAAGGAGTTCCACACGGACCGCTTCAGGACGGTGACAGTCGGCGACCTTTCCAGCAAGAAGATCGACTGGCTGAAGGCCGGCCCCTCAATGAAGTACGTTGAGGAGGAGCTCCAGCGGTTGAGCATGGTTGAGCAACCTCCCCACGCGGAAGAGAACTGATGAACGAGCGCCAGGTGTAGTCGGTCTTGACTTCAAGGACCAGCACCTGCCTCCTGCAGACCCCTCCGAGGGTCACGATGCCCTTAAGGGGCTTATCGAGTTGGACAAGGAGATCGGCAGAGGCCGTCAATCCCGTAAGAGGCAAGGATCCCCTGAGAGGGGACGGCCCCCCACGGGGGAGAAGCAAAAGGAGGGAGTAAAGAAAGAAAAGAAGAAGAAGAAGGTGAAGAAAAGTGACACCACAATCGCACATCAAGGTTTCATCGCCCAAAGAGCAGCTGATCAACCCTCTCGGGCCTGGCCTCATGTCCCAGGATGGAAGGAGAAAAGGTCCTCGGGATCTTGGTCACTGAGCCTGGGCCGTCGGCGTGGTCGAAGCCAATATGTGTTCCGATGGCACGGTCACTCACCGCCAACCAGAAGCAGGCCATCAGGCGAATTGCCGCACAGTTGGACCGTCTGGTCAGCAGGTCCGATAGGCTCGCTTTAGCAAAGGTCGCGGCAGCGATAGAAGTTTGACTATGACGGCGGCCCGGTAAGGCACATGAGAGATTTGGTCGTGGAGAAGGTGCTGAAGGCCTGGTTCAAGGTCGGATCTGCCGCCGTGGTTGACCTTCGGGACTGTCTTCCCGAAGATCTACGGGAAGCTTTGGACCGGCCTCGCGATTTTCTTGACACCGTGGGTCACAAGGCAAGAATGGCAAGATTGTAAAAGCCGGTTACGACCGAGGAATGTTTGTGTCAGTCAAGGATGAGGCGGTGCCTCGGGACAAACAGGATCACCTCATCGCCAACGGGGCCGGGGCCGTGATCAAGATGAAGGGAGAACGGCTCGAGGCCCAGCGCTTCATCTCTGCCCCACCAACGATGCCGTGAAGCTATTACCGGGGGCCCAGGACAAGCTCCCCTACATCTTCCCACCTGGTCCTGGATTCGGAGGACCCTGCAGTTGGCGTTACTTGTTTCGCATGCCGTTGGAATGGGCCCCGATGTTCAGCATCGCCCAAAAGGCGAGAGGGGATGCCCTAGGTTTCCTCAAATGTGATGCTCATGCCGGCCCTGGAGTGGTCCATGGGCTGGACCAGTGCCGTGACGCTAGCCAGGCGGCCACTTTTAGTGGGTCCATGACTGTCCTGTACTGAATGAGGCCTGCCAGCCCTCTCCGCGCCGCAAGAAGTTCATCGAAGCATGCGGTTGGGCCTGCCAAATGAAGCCAAGCAGCGGTGCGGCTTTGTCCGGGACCCTCGCGAGTCCAAAATCCTGAGGCGTGCCGTGCCTACGACAAGACGGTTGGAACTCATTGGCCTGGGCTTGGACGAGGTCTTGATGTTCACTTCGCTCCTGGCTATGGCCGAGATAGACCTATCCTCAGAGGTCTCCTTGGAGATTGCTGCGTGGATGCGTCGCCCACAAATTCGGTGGCCACTGCGTTCAAGGAACAGACCCTGATTCTCCGTGACCCGATCGCCGACGAGAACTTCTGTGCCTGCTGTGGAAAGGAAATGAACGAGCCCACCTGGCGCACGTACGCGTGCTGCCCATGCCGGTGTGGCCTTCGATGCTGTTCCCTGCTGTGCACGAGGGCCCATGCATGGTGACACCTGGGTTCGCAAATGGTGGCGCACTCCTTCCTTTCAAGAACGGTTCTCAGGGAAATCTTTCCCTTTCTTTGACTTTGACCAAGGCGGTTGGCCTAGTGGAATCTCCACGCAACCTCCGCTGGACTACGACGTGGCAGGGGACCGGAGGGACCTTCGCGCCGAGGCAGGGAAAGCAAGGCTGGACGAGGCCGAAGCTGATGGAGACCTGATGTGGACCCATTGATCTCCCTCCCGAGTCACCTTCCTCTCAGACCGATGCACCGGTTACTGGGACTGGCAAGGCAATTGGGTCGATGGGGCAACCTCCCTGAAGGTTTGCCAAAGCTGAGGCAGCGCCTGACTGTTGTTGTGAGGCAGGCCAAAGCGGGGGCTGGTTTAAGCAAGCCGCCGAGGGCGATTCGCTCTCTCGAGCACCCCTATAGCTCGTACCTATGGAGCAAGGCTGGTGCCACTCGATATGTTCGACATGGTGACGTGGGAGCGGGGAGCGGAGGGAGTGATGGCTTTGTGTTTTGCATAATTCTCCCTCGCTCCATGCTGTGCTCCACCGCCCTCAGTGCGATGGCCACTCGCACCTTGATGTATCAGCAGAAGAATGTCCCTGGGCACTTTGCCTGGTGATGGCTGAGGGAGTTTATGATCAGCTCAACTCCCTCTACTCCGAGCCCTTCGGCTCGCTCCCTCTCAGCCTTGAACGGCTTCTTCATCACCAGCTGCAAGGAGCAACCAAGGGCTTGCAGCAGCAAGCTGCAGTGAACTGGGCAGTGACTGCCCAGTTCACTGCAGCGCGGGGAGGGAAGAGGAGCACCTGGTTTGGCTCCTGCAGCACGCCTACCATAGCGGCTGTGACGTCAGACTTACAGACCGGGGAGATGATGTCACGGGACATCGTCCAGGGCCGTATCCGGCCTTCCGTTGGCACTGGAAGGATGTCCTCTGTTTCGCAAACCTCAGCACATCAATGTGCTGGAGATGACGGCGTTCCTGACGGAGCTCCGCCGGTGAGCACGGAGCATGGACGAGCTCGGCAAGTGGTTCTTCTGCGTTGTCGACTCGCTGGTCTCCTTGTACGTGCTCGGAAAGGGACGATCGTCGTCAAAGAGACTTAACAGAGTAAGCCGCCGCATCGCAAGCCTCTGATGTCCATGAGCCTGTGGACCATAAGCAAGTGGAACTTCTCCAATGGTGTGTCGCGGAAATTTGAACTGCAATGATCACTTGCGGTTTTTGGGGATCACGGCCAAAATCAGACGGTCGTATGAGGATGCGGTGGCGGCTCTGTTTCAACACTTGCACTCCCTACGGGGCAGGCTGCCAGGGACGATGGCTGAACTGGATGACGAGCTTGCAGAATACATCAATCACCTTTACCAGGAGGGTGATGCGGTGACATTGGCGGGCTGGGCACTCAGCGGCCTGTCAAGCCTCATCTGTTGACTTCACAATTGTTTCTGCGGAACTGGCAACGGGTCCATTTGCCCCAGAGGACCAACCCGATGACGTGGTTGGGGGCAAGGGCCATGGCTGGGGCAGCGCCCCGACCGTGCAGTGCAATCTCTATACTTTTGTTATTTGCCGTCTTCCTGCGCACTATAGAGTTACTTTCGTTGACGATCGGGCACCTCCGCATCTTCCCGGAACAGGGCGCCATCATCATTGCCATCATTAATTCAAAGACTTCATGTGGTCTACAACAATCGCTCTCTTTACAAGAGCCTGGCCTCGTGGCAGCTATTTCTTTTCTTTTGGACCGGGCACGCCCGAGCTCCTTTCTGTACCCTCACTCCGTGGCTGCTTTCCGCAGGGAGTTTGGCTGCCTGGTGCGCTTCATCGGCCTCAACCCCCCCCAGCACACCCAGAGCGTTGGCCGTACAATGATACAAGGGAGATGGAAAGACTCCAAAACTGCCCGCATCTACATCGATGACACTCGGGCTACTTTGGTTCAACTTTCGCTTCTCCCGCCCACTACCGCCCATCACTGGTCTCTGGCGTCTGTATGGCGAGTGGCTGTGCCTGGTGCTGTATCTGAACGGGACAGTTGGCGTTGGAGGTTGGCGCGTGAATGCGTGTGCGGAGGATCCTCCTAGGGGAGAGGCCTACGGGCCAGACAGGGCGCTGTACCATAGAGTTTGATTTCATCTCGCAGCGCGCCAACTTTGATTCCTTCCAGCTCCTTCGGGGAAGATGTCGCGGCATTGTGAAATATGTATTGTCATTTAATCCATGGCATGTCTCCTTAGTCTCTCTTGAGCGAACCGGTGCCGTCGAGCTAGGTCTGAGATGCGGGATGGAAGATGCGGAACAAGCCGTGCGCTTTAACCCAATTTGCAGGTTTTTCGCATCATGCTGTCAGGTGTACCGCTCGAATGCTGGGAAAGATGAGCTTTGCACCACTTGACGCTCGGCACACTCGAAGCATTTTTCTGCAGAAGAGCCTCTGTTGGTCTGGACAAACCCTGATCAGGTTAACTAGTCAACTAGTGGTTAACATGGGCAGGTTTTGTGCATTTCGAAACGCTTTAAGCCTCTACAGTTTCTTGTGTCGGATCGAACATCTCCTTCACCGCCCCGTGTGCCGGATTTTAAATCTTGTTGTCTGGACTGCGCGGGCCCTGTCTTCCTGCTTTCGGCTTTCAAGCTTTCGCTCCGTAGTTTCATCGTCTCTTGACAAGCTTGGGTTGCAAAGCCTGGAAGCTATATCACCGAATAGACGGGCATTTGGTGGGTCGAAGTTCTGGGTGGTGATCCGCGACTATCAAGGTATCCATGTTCTGGTTCCTTCCGGTCGTTGATTGTTGTTGGCGATGCGACCCCAAGCTTCGGAGCAGCTGGCATCCGGTTCCAGGCGTACGAAGAAGGCCACCCTTGATGGGGACGGATCCTTTTGGGGGTGCATGGCAGAGTGGTTGAAGCACACGGATCGCTTTCCTGGGCTTGAAGCAAGTAGGAGGAAGCGGTTGGCCAAGAGCCACTCAGCGAGATGTTTCCAATTGTGTGGCGGAGACGAGTTCTCGGGAAGATGAACGCTTCATGCGCGCTTCATGGGCTTGTGTTGTGCAGCTTTTGCACTCCCCTTGGGCGCAGATGCACCTTCTTGTCAGTATGTGTCATTCTGAAGTCATTCCCATTAGACCCGCGAAGAGCTTGTAACCAGTCGTTGAGCGCATCGTTCGCGAGGACTCAACCTGCAAAGTCGACTCAAGAAACAGAAATGCACAGCCGTCCACTAAGGTTCGAAGCCAACCGCGTTTTACAACGTCCCGCGGTCAGAATGGCTCGGAAAGGTTGATGCTGCGAACTCGTGCATCCAGGCGGGTCTCGGTTGTGAGGGTTGCTGTCCTTGCGAAAAAGATGAGCGAGACAGCGAGAGTGTGATGTTGTTGCACCGCCCTTGGCCAGGTCCCTGCGAGCAGTCCTCGAGCTTGCATTGGCTACGGAGATCTCGTGCAGGCAGCAGGTCGGCTGAGCTACTTTTCTGCTGCATCTTTGCGTGGGCGTGGCCGCGCTGCTGTGTGCAGAAAGCCAAGCTCGTGGTAAGCAAGAAAGGAATGGGCACACAAATTATTGGTGGTTGAAGTTGAAGTGAATCATGGTGCATCCGCCCGTGCACCACAAGGTTCTAGTTCTCAGTTCTCAAGATCTTGCGCAACCAAGCATGTTTTGGCGATTTGGTCGGTGAGGGCAACGGATGTAGCAGCATGCATAGTGATTCAGCAGTTTCTTCAGAGGTCAGATTCTATAAGATTGATGAGGAAGCGGTCGGCATTCGCATGTTGATGCTTTCAACAAGACCCACGAATGGGAGAGAAGAAAGAGAGCTTTCAAACGGCCTTGATGCCAGGAAACCAGGGTAAGGCGAGCTTGCTTGGCCACTTGCTGTGCATTTACATTGCTGCGCTCAGTCTTCAGTGTACCTGTGTCTGAAAGTTGCTTTTGGTGTGAAGGTTCCTGAAGGGTTTGCTCGAGCCGCTAGGTGAAGCTGATTCGGAAGAGTCAAGTGCTGGTGCCAAGTGCTGCTTGGAAAGCAGATTTGAGAATGTCGGCCGCTTCTGCCGATGTTTGGACACAGCACAAGCTTCAAGCGATGTAGTACATGATAAGACTGCGTTGTCGCCCGGGTACGAGGCTCCAAGATGTTGACGACAATGAAGTCCAGCTCCTGTGGGGTCAAGGACACCGCCTGGTCACGGGGCCATGGACCCAAGATCTGCAAACAACTAGTCATCACAGCTTGAAAGTCAGTGAAGTTGGTTGTGCCCGCATCGAGTTCGGCGGCAGCACGCCAGGAACAGACCCGTGTGTGGAACAAGACAGGGCTGATTCGGTACAGTAGCTCCGCAGGTTTACGGATACTTAGCGTTTAGAGTTTGGTTTGAAGGGTGTTGAGGGGCTTAGGGTTTAGGTTTCTGCTTCTCCTAATTGTCCTATCCGCGAGTCGGCTTGGCGCCCGGATCACTCGGCGCAGCCACTCGTAGACTCTTGACAGCTAAGCAGCCGTCCCTGGCAGCCTTTGTCACCGGGCTCACTTCGCTGTCGGCCACTCCTCAGGGCGATTTGCCGGCTGGTTCCTTTCTGTGTTTGTATTGGCTTTTGAGGTTTTAGAGGTCTCCCGGTCCTGACAGGTTCGGGTTGTACTCTTTATGCGAGTGAGATTAATATAGCAGTGTGGAAAGATCCGCAGCAGGGCTTACTGCGAACCGGATTCTTCAACGCAGGACTTGTTGCACAATGTCGTCCTCACGCAGCGATACAATTCGCGCCTTCGCAGCACATGACAAGAGAGGGTCTTCCCCCCGTGCGGAAGGGATTTATCAATTCCGGTACTTAGCACTCGAAGCGACTCATTGCAGATGATTTCATTCGGATGCTCTCAGGACATCAGCCTATGCTGCTTGCAGGACACATTTGTGTCTGCCCAAAGCGAGTGCTTCAATACACTTTGAATTCATGTCGGTCGCTTGCAAGCGGATGAGGACCTACTGGTCCAGCATGGACTCCGAGATGGGGCGAAACTTCATGCAGTGGTCGAAATATACTGCCACCAAGAGGCCACTTCTGTTGCGTTCACGATCAGCACGCAGAGGAACAAGAAAAAAGGTTGGACACTTCTTGGATGTTCCTACGTGTCGCTACTTCCGAGCTGCAGCCACTTACTGTCAACGAGCCGAGAGCAGCAAGGCAAAGCAACATCTGCAGCGAACTTTGCGAGTTGTGTTGGACCAGGATAGAAAGCTGCAAAGCCGCCGTGAATGAGACGATGAAGCTCGTGAGCTTCTTCAGGTCTGGCCCATTTTGGCATCGAGTGTGCTTGAAGTCCTTGCATTTTTTCTGAAAGGCACGCTGAACCTGTGGGCAGTCCTGAAACCAAGCCAGTGCCCAAGAAATTGGACAGTTGGTAAACAGGAGAGAATAATATAGAGGAATGCGTGCTTTTTCAGTGCAGCTGTACCTGATGTGTGTCAGAGTGCAGAAAGACTCCCGTGCCGTGCAAGTTGTGGTGAATAAAGAGACTGACAAGACCCAGGTATGGCATCAAGTGTGATGCGACCTTGCAGTGCTGAAGGTGCCTTGTCTTCTGCTTGGGCACTGTGCAGGAACAGGACGGGCGCATACCGGCATGCAAGTGCCAACACGCGGACGCGGAACTAAGGCACCTCAAGTGACTTGACAGCTCACGGGAATCGCCTGAGCATGGGAATCGGGTCTTGTTAGTCTGGAGATGAGTCACTAGAGGGACAGATCAAGCGCATGAAACTCTCTAGCCAGGCATCTGCTGATCAAAATTATTAGAAAGGTGGATCGCGCATGCGCTCACCTGAACCATTATGTAGTTGGGCCTCTGGCCTGGAACGCCAAACGGCGAATCTGCGGCCATGACAGGAACGTGCGGGAACCTACTGCTATGTGGAACTGCAACGCACATCACTTATTCAGTTAATACCTAAGTTCCATGCAGCAGTTGGGTTCTCAAATTTTAGAAGCTCCTGTACAAAAGACTCGCACTTGCTGCCAAGTGCTGTAGGGTCTTTAGGGATGATCAGCAGCCGCATCAAAACGATTGCTCAGAGGGCGTGCAAGCCTCATGCTTTCCTTTCGAGCGCTGGATCACTGATGCATCCGCATCTACGTAGGCCAGAAGGCTCCAGCCCCGTATTGAAGGAAATGACAGCCATGCGGGAGTTTTTGAACGTGACCACTGCTCTGACAGTGGCGGCGGTCTGCGCCTGCACGGTGCTGCTGACCGGGGATGTGGCCTTCACCGCAGGCCTGAGCCGCGGGCCTCAGCTGCCGTCGCCCTCTTCGGGATCTTCCAGTTTGGCTGGCTCTCCTTTCGCTTCGGCACACGAGACATTGGGCAC